CATAGTACTCTAGGTAGTTCATCTACCCAAGCTCCCTTAGCTTTCTAGAGGCATCTCTTGAGTTTCTGAATCACTGTTTTGTTGGAAGACTATGCCTACCCGTTTGATTGAGAATGCTAAGGTGTTGAGAAGCTGAGCTTGATACCCTACATATCACAGAAGTCTCTGAATCCTAAACTGATGAATTGGGACCCGTTATCAGTGACCAACTCCTTCGGTATGTCAAACCTACATATGACATTCTTCCAGATGAATCTCTTCACTTCTCTGTCTCGCACCTCGATGAATGGCTCGACTTCTATCCATTTGGTGAAGTTGTCGGTGACCACCAACATGTATACTCGTTGCCCTAGTGTGATTGAGAGTTTTCCGACTATGTCCATCCCCCACTTCATGAATGGCCAAGGGATGAGAATGGAGTTAAGTCTTTTAGGAGGGAGATGCACGACATTGGCAAACCTTTGACAGCTATCCACCCCTTGACGTAGGCTGCTAAGTTAGCTCACATTATAGGCCAATAATAATTGGTTGTGATCACTCGGGGGTGAGACTATGTCCCTTAGCATGGTTCCCACACTCACTTTCATATATCTCGGCAAGGACATATTTGGCCTATTCTGGAGTGATACACTTGAGATATGGGCCAGAAAAAGATTTTTTCAACAGTTGACCTTCATAGATTGCGAATCTGGTAGCCTTGGCTCTGAGTCGGCAGGCTTCGTTCTTGTTAAGGGAAAGTTCGTCATTTACCAAGTATCGGATGATCGGTGTCATCCATGAGTCAACTAGGCTGATTTTTAATACTTTTGAAGTCTCTTTGGGAGTGTGAGTGTCTTTTGTTGGGTATCTTTCCAGTATGCTAGCCACTATAGAAACAAAAGCGGGATGGTTGCTGAAGAGGATCCTTGAAGAGCTGATCCGAGGTTGACTAGGGCATCTACATGAGCGTTCTCGGTTCTTGGTACTTGCATGATTGTGAATTCTTAAAAGGAAGACTAGAGTTCTTTTACTATGCTGAGGTAGGTGTTCATCTTCGAATCCTGGGCTTGGTATGTTCCTTGGAGTTGATTAACCACTAGTTGAGAGTCAGACTTGACTTTTAGTTTCTTCACTCCTATGTCTTTTGCCATGGTGAGCCCCGCTATCAATGCCTCATACTCAGCCTCATTGTTAGCACACTTGAAATCGCACTTGAAAACACACTTTATGGCCATTTGGATGATGTCTTCTTCTGGTGTGATTAGCACGATGCCCAAACTGCTTCCGTTATAATTACTAGATTCCTCGACTGAGAGAGTCCAATTACAGGACCCGACATCTATCATGCACAAAAACTCTTACTCAGGCTAGACAGATGTGTTGTGTGTGAAGTCAGCTATGAAATCAGCCAATGCATGAGATTTGATGGCTATTCGGGGTTGGTAGGACACATCAAATTCACTTAGCTTGACCATCCACTAGGTGATTCATCCTAACAACTTTGGTTTGTGGAGAATCTTCTTCAATGGGAAAATGGTGAGGATGAATATGGAATGACATTGGAAGTATGGGAGAAGCTTTCTGGAGGCTTGGATGAGTGACAATGCCAACTTCTCCGACTGGTTGTATCAGGTCTTGGCATTAAGAATCGACTTACTCATATAATACACAGGCATCTGCTTCTCATTGTCCTCCCTGACTAAGACGATTGAGACAATCGTTTCAAAGACAGCCAAGTATGTGTAAAGTGTCTCCCCTGTGAGGGGTCTAGAGATAAGAGGAAGTGAAGTTAAGTACCTTTTGAATTATTGTAGGGCTTCTTCATAGGCTGGGGTCCATTCAAATTCCTTGGATTTCTTTAGTGTGGTGAAAAACAGGTAGCATTTGTCAGCTGATCAAGAGATGAATCTTCTTAAGGTGGACATCTTTGATGCTTGTGGGAGAGGCTATGTTAAGCACAACTCAGATTTGATCATGGTTCACTTCTACCCCACGTTGAGTCACCATGTAGCTTAAGAACTTCTCGGATGAGACCTTGAATGAACACTTAGCAGGGTTGAGTTTTATGTTATATTTCATGGGTACTAAGAATGCTTAGTTCAGGTGATCGAGGTGTTACTCGTGTTAGAGTAGGTGCCCTAGAGCTAATCAATTATTGTAAAATTGATTTTGTAATAAATGTTATTTATCAATAAAAGACATATTCTTCTATATCGTGTATGTAATGATATATGTCCTTAAGATGGTAGAACCGTGATGAGGGTATCAAGTGTTTCAAATCTTGATAGTGAGAACCCTATGATCACATATGGTGACCATTCTAGAAATGTCCGTAGCCCTAGTATTATTCTGGCCAAGGACACGGATAATACGGTAAGGCTATTATAGTATTGAACGACCCTGTCGAAAGGCAGTGATTGGTCTCACTTGTCAAGGTTGTTTGTCGATAACCTGGTGCAATGCATGGGTGATTGCTAGAGGCAAATTCACTGGACAGACCCACCAGAGGATTCCATATGGCTGGTAACTCTAATGTCTATGGATTAAATCCTTTAACGAATGGTGGTGCATGTGATCCTTAGACTTGAGATCATCGGAGTGCCTTGTGCACCAATTGGTGTAGTTTGACACTAGCCCAACGTGGTTCTATTCAAAGCTATCAATACGATAGTGATTGGCTACATTGAAAAGTGTATCGAGACTATGGTGAATCGACAAGGGATTCATCACTCCTGGGTATGGGAGAAGTTATCTCACTGGGTAATTCAGTAAATGGCAATGACACTAAATCTGTGGTCACAATGGGATTGAGTTGATGCTCAATCCAATTTAATATTCTTGTCATTGGTCCAGCAACTGAATACAAACATGTCGAGAATATCTGAGGTTGACACTATTTATGTACCTCAGTCTCGATGAGATAACAGTTGATGAAATGATTTGATTGCACGATAACCATATTGTTGATAGGCTGCGGTTTCGCTGAATTCGAATCTATCGGGTGACCATGATGCCTTGCTAGGGGTCAATCTTGGTCTATGTGTAGTGAGACGATTAAGCGATGTTAATCAGGATACTACACACTGCTGATATGATGAGGAGCCTACGGGTCACACACTTAGAAGATAATTTAAAATCAATTTGTGAGAAGGGTATTTTCGTCTTTTAGGAGGAAAAGATATTTTTGTAATTTCACAGTACAATTAAATTTGCTGAGGTTGTTGCTTGTATTTAATTTTAATATTAAAATTAAATTAGTGAGATTATATTTAAATATATCTCTGTATATATTTAAATGAATTATTATTATTAATTAAATGTTAATATATTATTATTTATTAATTGATTTTAATTATAATAATAATTAATTAATTAAAATATCATAAATGGTGTGTTTGGTTGCAAGGGTGAACTAGGGTTGGAGCCCATGGCTATTCCTAAGTGGAATAGGGTTTTAATTGTTGCACTATATAAGTGCAACTTAAAAAATTAAAACAAAAAAGAATTATTCATTCAATTAAAACCCTAGCCACCCTATCTCTCTCTCTCTCAAGAAGAAAATTTTTCTTGTTCTTCTTTCTTGATTCTTAAAGCCCTTGATTGTTCTAGCAAAATAATTAAGGGTTCTGCGGATTATCTTCGTGTGGACTTCCGTGAGTGCAATCCTACTTTGGATCGATTGGCAAAAAATCACGTGAACAGCAGACGGTGAACAGTAACCATGAACAGTGTACGTGAACAATAACCATGAACAGTGCGTGAACAGTGTTCTTGTCCGAAATCAGAGATATTAGAAGGAGCCTCCAAACGTACGTAAGTATTCTAATCCTTGAATGGATTTACTTTATATAGATTTTTGTTCATAAACATGTAAATGGTATAATATACACTCGGATCTAGGCAAAGAAAGGTAATTGATTTACCAATTAAATTTTTGTTTTCCCTTACGTATGGAAGATCAATTACTTATAGCTCGGCCATCAAGGATTTGACAAGCATGTCGTCTATATACACCTCCATCATGTCTCCCAGTTATTTAGCGAACATCTTATTTACCAGCTGCTGATAAGTCGCCCCTGCGTTCTTGAGTCCGAAAGGCATCACTTTGTAGTAATATGTGCCTCTTTTGGTGATGAAGATTATCTTCTCTTGGTCGTTCAGATGCATAGTGATGAAGGTTATCTTCTCTTGGTCGTTCAGATGCATCAGGATCTGATTGTAGCCTGAAAAGGCATCCATGAAGCTAAGTAGCTTGTGTCCTGCTGTAGCATCCACCAGCATGTCTATATAGGGGAGTGGGAATGAATCCTTCGGGCATGCTTTATTCAAGTCGATGAAGTATATACAGACCCTCCATTTTCCATTCTTCTTCTTGACCACCACTACATTTGCTAGCCACTTTGGATAATGCACCTCTCATACCAGCCCATTGGCCAACAGTTTCTCAACCTCCTCATTGATGACTCGTTTCTCTTTGGGGTGAGCTCCCTTCTCTTTTGTTTTACCAGGAGATGATTGGGGTCCACCTGGAGTTGGTGGATGATTGCATTAAGATTGATACCCATCATATTTGCATGAGACTAGGCAAAACATTCGTTATTCTGCTATAAGAATTTGATTAGCCTTTCTCTAATGGCGGGACTCGGTTGGGACCCAATTTGAGTCTTCCTCTCGGGGTAGTCTGGATGTATCTGTACCTCATCCAACTCTTCCATTGATGGTTCATCACGCTTGGCTCAAGAAGTTGGACCTGACTGTAATTGTTATAAAGTTTGAGACTTACCTTTGAAGGCATTTTTGTAGCATTCTTTGGAAGCCTTGGCATCGCTTCTGATTTCACTCACTCCCCATTTGGTGGGGAACCTGATTGTTTGGTGGAATGTTGATGGAACGGCTCTCATGTCGTAGATCCAGGGTCGGCCCATGATGACATTGTAGGGGGAGGGACAATCAAGGACCAGAAAGACTGTATGGTGATTCACACCACATGCATAGACTGGTAGAACAATCTCTCTAATAGTTTACTTCTGCTCTGAACTGAATCTGACTAGGATGGTTGGGCACATGTTTATGTCAGCTTCGTTTAATCCCATCGGCTTCACTGCTTCAAGAAAGAGTATGTTGGCTGAAGATCCTCCATCTACAAAAATTCTCCTGATGAGGATATTGGCGATCTGCAAGCTAATCACTACGGCGTCATGATGCATGGAGGTCAGGGTGACAAGATCATGATCTTCAAACTGGATTACTTGTTTTGATGATGTTTTTTTTGGTGGATGAGTTGAACTAACTTTTTGATATTGATTGGCTCGGGCATGTCTCTTTGTTGATGAATAACTAACCTCACTAATTACTAAACCCCTAGATATGATGCTGCAGAAGCCCTTGGGTTTTGGATCTTTGGGAGTGGGAGACCACTCTTTGTTGTTTCTTTGATTCATGGTTTGTTTCCCCTTGTCAGTTAGCAGATCTTTCAGGTGCCCTCTCTTTAGTAATGCTACGACCTCCAGTCTCAGGGCAATGCCATCAGCTATATTGTGTCCATGATTATTGTGGAATTCACACCACTCGGAGGTGACTCTCTTGACGTCTAAGTCTAACTTCACTGGCCACTTGACAGTTAGCCCCATACCTTTCATGATTGCTACCAGCTGGGTGGGCTCAACACTGAGGTTATATTCTAGGACTTTGAATGAGCTAGAACTAGATGGGTGTTTATTCGGGCGAACTAGTTGCCTGTCATATGACTTCTTGTTGTGAGAATTGGAACCGCATGATTGAGTGGGATAACTTGGTTCATAAGAGTGGGCTTCTAGGTGCCTATCATCTTGCCTCTGGCGGCAATCTTCATATCGATTATGCCGCATCTGGTTGGCTTCATCTTCTCTTCACCTTATCTGGATCACTGCCCAGGCTAGTGCATCTTCCATTGTGTTACAGTCGAGCTTGGTGAGGTCCTTGTATAGTTCTCTGTTAAGGAGGAGCCCTCTCCTCTATGTGTCTACTGCAGTCTCAAGATTGCAAGAAGGGAATGAGATCTTCTCTTTACTGAAGTAGCTAACATATTCTCACAAGGGCTCACCCATTCGTTGGTATACTCGATATAAATCAGCGGACAACTTCTCCAGCTTCTTGCTACTGGCAATTTGTTCCACAAAGGTGTCGACCAGTTAGGCAAAGGAACTTATGATGTTGTTGGGGAGGTTGGTGTACCACTGTAGAGTCAGTCCCGAGATGCTGGAACTGAAGCTCTTGCACTTGTAAGCTTCCTTAAGATCCCTTAGTATGGAGGAGGTGAACATCTACTGCTTATACGAGGCTATGTGATCATCTAGGTTGGTCGTCCCATTGTATGGCTTCATATTGGGAATAGTGAATTTGGGTGGCATCTCGACTAGGGCTATTGAATTCACAAAGGGCGAATCTACTTAGTTGTAGGGTAGGCTCTTTTTAGTAGGGGTGGGCATTCCTGGTATGTGGCTCATCATGGCCTTGGTATCAGCCAATTTTTTTTACCAATATTTGCTCAAGAGGGGTGCCCATGGCTAATAGTTGAGTTCCAACACTCTGGTTATGTGCCTATGATCCACTCGGTCCTCCTAGACGAGTCATGTCATAGGGTGTAGATTGGAGATGTGTTCCACATTAGTTTGGCTGGGGGTTGGGGTATTAAGTCGCCCTTTTGGGTTGAGTTGGTCCTAGTGTGACCGAACGACTGTTTCGATCGGCATGGATGATCAGGGGTGTACTTGGAGGATGACTCGAGCTATGGGGATGAGTTATATCAGGATGGGTTTGTTGGGCATAGTGTTGTCTGCTCGACCCGTGAGGGAGAGCCGAGCTTGGTGGGGTTTGAAGGTGCGAGTTATCAATCATAGTAGATTGGGTGGGATTACTAATGGTGGTTGATGTTTGCAACTGCTGATTTGGGATTGTCTAAGTAATGAGGTCGAGTGTGAGTGCTGGATCAGTTAGGAAAGGTTTTTGTAAGGATAAATCAGTTGTGTTTAAGGTTGAGCCATCCATTAAGGATGACTGAATGTGAGATGATTATGGATCTCTATTTGAGCTTCTAGGGTCAAGGGTTAAAAGGTTTTGCATGGAGATTATCGAGACGCAAAAGCGATTCCTGAGCACCTGGTCATGAGTGACGTCAAGTGAATAAAACTGATTTACTTGCTCTCGCAGAGTTTGATTTTTGTAACACCTACTGAAAACTAGTACAATGCATGCAATTAACAATGGAAAATTGGGCCCAAAAAGTTTTCTTTTCATTACAATTCACATGTCTTTTATACACAAAAGTTACTGTTTACAAAAGTGCATTTCAAAAGAC